TATATTTTAGTGTACATGCAATGCACCTCAATTTCCGCAGCATCCAGGAACGATTGACCATCCACAGATGGAGTTACCTCAGCAGAAATCTGACACCAATCCCAAATATTTCAACAGGTAAACAAAAATTGGTTAATTTTAAGTAAGAATTATTTGAAAATACCTGGTTTTCATTCTCCATCTCCTCCCTTTGTGTTTGGGTTAGAATTCTTCTTCTCTTGTACTGGAACCCGCTACTTGCTCCGGTGTTCTCCATGGCAAAGAGATGTGTGGTAGTTCTTGAAGGTATCCGACGACGGTAAGCAATGTAGAACGAAGAGCAGAAGAGCTTCGATTGATGAAGGCGTATCGTTTCCGAAGCCTGGTCGGGGTATTAAGGAGGGGTTGGCGCTTCAAACGACGCCGTTTGACCTTTCTAAAAATCATCGTGACGCTTCGAAGGCAACCTAACGGCTCGTCGTTAATTTTAATATTTCCGTTAACTTTTTGAAGTAACGGGAATAAACAGTGACATTTTGTTTCTTGTTTGGAAGGGCCTTTCTGTCATTTCCCCTCATTTTACGCAAGTAGAGAGGACGCGCCTCACGCCAATCTCTGTTAGATCTAGGAGGGCATTCTCATAAATTCCAAACCTTTTTCAGCCCTTTTCCATAAATTCTTCAAGCTAGCCCTCCTATTTTCGTTCCACAGCAGGAAGCGGAAGTAGCCAAACGCCCAAACCCCCGAAGGCGCGGACGGAAATTGAAAAAGACGCCAGAAGGAAGTCGCCGAGAGAGAGTCGCCGCCGAAAGCCAGACGCCGCCGCCCGCCTGCACGCTCCACTGCTCCAGAGTCTAGCCGCTTCCCGCCAGACGCCGCCTCGACGGAAACTCTCCAGCCTCCAGGTCCAGGATTCCAGGTACGGTGGTAAAAATAAAAAAAACCAATTTCAGAATTTATTTAAGAATTTTACAATTTGTTATGTGAAAATATGAAATTATTTAATCTTTATTAATTTGTGTTATGAATTTGTTATGATTTTTTGTTGTGAATTTGACAATTTATTTTATGAACTTGTCATGTGAAAAATTGAAAACCTTTATTTGAAATTTTTGTTATGAATTTGTTGTGAAAATCTGAAAATCTATTAATTTAATAATCTGAAGATTTTTTTTTTCGGAAATTCAAAGTTTGTATTTGTGTATTTGATTTCACTAAGATGTGAGCAATCAATTTGCTCTAAAAAATGCAAGGAGAAATTTACGAATTCCCGGCTAGCTTTTACAATATGTAATTATACTACTATGAGTTTGTCATTTACTTATTTTCATTTAATACTATTGGGTTAATTGTTATTTAAATATATTTAGTTTACATATTTGAATTGTTTAGACCAAGTGGGAATTAGAGATAAGACTTCTAAGGCCTTTTTTTCCTGCAATTGCATAATTTTCATAATTTCATGGTTATCAGATCTTCCCCAGATTGTCATGGTTATCATATCATCAAATTGCATAATTATAGGCTCCTGCATTTCTATGAATGTTTCACGTTTAAGAAACAATTATCTATAAAATCATAGCAATTAATTGCATATTATGAATCATTCATTTCTTTCTTTCCAATTTTAAAAGTTTAACGAGGCTACTTAGTTATAGTTGTGTAGTAGATGGTGATTTGATACACTAATTTTAGCATCTCTGCTCCCAGACATTTCTAATGTTTCAGTACTAATTAATATTACAAACTTGTTTTATAGATTGAGGACTACTAGCACAGTTTGCTACTTTTCCAAGGCCTTAGGTAAATATGCATCAAATTAACTTTATTAGAAAAAAGAGCAGAAAACTGTGCCTGGGTATGCCCTATTTTGAAAAATTAACTATCGGATCCCTCATATTTTTAAAATATACTCTGGGATATCCTGGATTTTGAAAAATTGAACTGTTGGGTAACACACATGTTTAAAATATACTCTGAAGTACCTCCAAATGTATATTAACTTACCTGTGAGGAACATTTTGTTTCATTCAAAAATTTCGATTAAACTGGATAGATTGTATCCTTAAAGTATAAGAACTAAAGGTTATTTTTAGAATTCCAAACACCTACTCCCTCTGTCTACCATAGATATTCCTGGATACTATTCACAGGATCAAACGTAAATCACTTCCTTTGCTTATTTTTACTACTCATTTTATAAAATAATATAGTCTTGTCACCTCATTTTTGTAAAACTTTTCATTTAGTTTATTACTATATAAATTTTACATTAAAATTTTACCCCTATATTCAAATAAATTAAATAGAAAATAAAGTTGGTCAAGCCTCGTAATGCGCAATGGGAAGATCTTAGGTGGACGGAGGGAGTATTTCTTAAAATTATTGGCGTAAGTGGCTTTGACGGAGAGTGTGACGGAATGTCACTCACGGGTAAGTTAATGTGTATTTAGATTTTGGAGGTATCCCGGAGTATATTTTAAAAATGCGAGGTTCTCATTAGTTAGTTTCTCAAGATAGAGGGTACATCGGAGTATATTTTAAAAATGTAAGGTGTCCGACAGTTAGTTTCTCAAATTAGGGGGTACTCAGGAGCACTTTTCTGAAAAATAGATAAGTAAAACACTTTTATTGAGGATATCCTAAAGACAAACTACAACACTCGGGCACTTTGGGGTATAATCTTTTTAGGGAAGTCATAGGTTCTCTTCTTTTCCTCTCAGCAACAAAACTGTTCAGCCCAAAACCGTTCTCTACAAGCGTTCTCAGCCCCTCTTCTTCAACAAAACCGTTCTCCATAAGCAACAAAACCTCCTCCATTCTCCATAAGCCCCTCCTCCGTTCTTCCTCTTAGCCCCTCCTCCATTCTTCCTCTTAGCCCCTCCTCCGTTCTTCCTCTCAGCCCCTCCTCCATTCTTCCTCTCAGCCCCTCCTCATCACTGAACTACTTTCTCTTCTTCACCCTAGCAGCTCTGCCTCCATTCTTCTCCATTGTTACTCCATTTGAATTGAATTGCTCCAGACAACAACGATCCGTGCATCCAAGTTTGATCTATAACGGGCGGTGACGAACTCTGAACTTTAGATATGACAGTTTTGTACTAATATGCTCTTTTGTTTACAGATCGAAATATGGGATTACTTTGTGAGTTTGAGTTCGGTTTGTGTTTGACGTTTTCAATACCTGTTTGGATCTGTTGTTCCTATTGGTCGAATTTGACACTTAAATGTGGCTTTTTATTCTAAATCTGCATTCACTTACAATTTTAAGCTCAAATCTGCTTGAGATCTGCCAGAGTTGGATGCTTATTTGTTTGTTTAATAGTGCATTAACATGAGTGGGTAATTTGCATAGCTTTGGGTTGGTTTATGAGATTTTGAATTATGAAATTGGTAGCAACTTGTTTGGTTTAAGAAACTGTGTGTTTGGATGTGCTTGTGCCAAAAAGTAGGTTAAGAAACTGTATGTTTGGATGAGTATTGCTTTCTTGCTAGCATTTAATCTTTTTTAATGAAGGTTTATTATGGGATTGAATTTAACTTCTATTTCAATTGTGTCTGTATACTATCATGAGCATTGTTTTTTTGCTGAAAGTTTCCATCTTTTGTTTTGGGTTTTGTTATAGGGATGACGCAACGGCCCTTCATGATAGAAAATGGCGTTGGTGATAATGATAAAAAAAGACGAGTACTTCTGGTATCCATCCCATGCTTTTTCCTATCAGGGGCAAAACAAATACGGGGTAACATAGTCAATTCACATTAACCTTTTAAACATACCACATTGAAAACAATTCCCATTTTTTTAAAAAACTGAGGGCATATCTATTCATACACAAAAAATATGTTGTATGGGATGGAGTGTCAAGCAGCAAAGCAAAGGGTGAACATGAATAATAATAAATAAATAATAGAAAAGGGCGTGATTTGATCCATGTTGCCGACCCCACTTAGTGGGATTAGTCTTGTTTGTTTTCAAAGAAATAATAATTTTGTTTGTATGTACACTAGCATTTCATCCTCCTTTATATATATGTGTCAGGATGTGGAGTCGACAGTTGGGGGTGACATGAGTCAACTTCCAGATGATATTCTTGAGTACATTCTGAGTAAATTGATACTTAGGGATGCAGTTAGAGCAAGTTTGGTATCATCTAGATGGAGGCATCATGTTCTGTCCCGACCTTGCCTTATTTTCAAAACATGTAGCATGTTCAAAATTGAGGGAGCCTCAGAAGAGAAATGTGTTTGTTCAGAATACAAAGATCGATTTGTGCGAGCTGTATATGACTTCCTTGCTTCATATAGAGGCGTGCGAATGAAAAAGTTGTCTGTTCATTTCTGCCTGAAGACTGTTTCCAAGAACGTCGTCTCAGACTGGATGAGTTTTGCTTGTGGTTTAGGTGTGGAAGATGTTGTGTTTGAATTATATTGTGAAAATTTGGAATCCAAAGTGCGATCGTGTAGTACTCGGCTTCTGGAGATTTTCCCAAGTCAACAACCGATTGTTTTAAAGTATCTAAGACTATCTGGCTGTGATGCTTTTGCAGTCAGTCTGTTCACCCGGCTACAGACCCTCAACCTTTATTACACGTCTTTGGATTCTCATGTTATGGAGAACGTGCTCTCATCGGGTTTAGTAAATCTTAAGACGTTAATATTTCAACACTCCAAATTGCCTCCCTATTTAAGCCTTAACTCACTCCCCAACCTACAACATTTCATGGTTAATTTTTGCTCTGGATTGGAAAAAATTGACGTGGCTTGTCTTAAGCTCAAAATTTTGAAAGTTCACTGCAATAGGACTGTTTCAGTGGATCTCACGCGGGTTCCCAACTTGAAACGATTGAGTTGCAAGGTGCATGATGGTCCCAGCATATGCCACTTTTTTCTCAAGCTCCCACAAATTCTTCCTTATTTGAAAATTTTGCATGTGGCCTCTAGTTGCAACTGGGTAAAGATCAAATGCCTTTTTTTTTGTTTTTGTTTGCTTTTTGTTATATACTACTGCTAACTATCACTACCATGTGTATATGTTTTCCTTTTGCAGGTTGAGTACATGCCAGAAAGCGTAGCTACATTCTCCAAACTTAGGAGTCTAAAACTGTCAATGGCCTCCAAAGTGGAAGATATCATGTTTAAGATTTTCCAGTTTCTGAAATCTTGCCCTATACTCTCTAATCTGACCATTAAGGTGAGTGATTCATCCCATTTTTTGATCTTCTCTCCCACTTTAGTTAAACAAATTATTCACACCCGTGGAATGTACAAAAATTAAACACCATCCGCGTAAGTTATATTTTGTGAGGATGACTGTGATTTGCATGCAGTTTAAATCGAGCCCACGAGAGGACCAGGAACATGAGAAGTTGGAGTGCATTGATGATGATTACAATCATAAACATTTGAAGTGGATTAAAATCCATGGATTTGCACGCACCAAAAATCAGATCGAGTTTTGCAAGTATTTAC